AAAAAAATTCCCGTTATTATGAATCTGCTAGGTTTCAATTGCGTCTGTAAGAATGACGTTCTTCTGTCACTTTTCCAAATAATAGAAGACCGTCATTGTTGTCAGCGGTACTGAAAGCTAGCGGTTCATTCGCCTCCCTATAATGACTTGGTTTTTTAGTAAATATTCCTACGAAATGAGGTATATTCGTTTGTGTTCGAATATGTGTTTTTTCGACCCAACAAATGGTCCTGTTTCGAACCCATGCATTGCAGTTGTTAAAGTACCTTAGAACTATGGTCTGCTTAAATAATCCCGTAGGCTACTAGAAGCGAAGCAAAGGGACCGTGCACTGTACCGTATAATTCCGGTGAATTTGCATTACAGTATAAAAATCACTTGGACAAGAAAGCTTTGGAAGAATGACAGGGCTACTTTCGCACCTTGTTCAACTCCAACTTCGTCGATGATATTTACTTCTATTTCCAAACACGTAAAGTACATCTTTACACGTTTTCACGGCGTATATGAATGAAAGGGACAACAATAACTGCATAAAATTCACCACAAAAGTTCAGCAACAGTAATCTTGCTGTTCCTGAATGTGCATCCAAACTGATAGGCAGGAGAACCATCGGAATTTTGAATTTTCTGCCTACCGAAAGGTTACTAACTCCCGCAGGTACTGTCGCCGAAAATCCTGCGTTTCATTGGTATTGTTCAAGAACATAGTGTAAAAGATGCGTCTACGGGCAACATTGGAAAGGGTGTGAAAGAAAGAAATTTGAACCTTTCTTCAGAGCTCTTACCTAGATACGTTGTTAAACAATAAACTTGCACCCAGTCTTTAGCTAATGCTAACCACCATAAAAGGAGCTGTAGTATGAATTCCATTTTACTTTAGGTTTCAGAACAAAAAACAATGCTGAACGAAAACAGGTTTTGCGGTCTGCTAGAATAATTAAATGGCATGGTTGTGCTTCTTTCTAAGAAACTTCATCCAAAGTACCCAGTTGAAGCTGTTCATGTGGTTTATGAAGTATAGTGTTATGATTTTGACGGGATTTATATAGTTAAGACTGACAGACGGTTTAAAATCATAATGAAGGGACATCTGTATGCAGTACGCACCTGTCATGCTGAATGCTCCTTCATTGTACCCCATGCCCCATGCCATTTGTGAATGATATTGCGACAGCGATGCGAGTGTTATCGTAATTGACGGGAAGAGGGCGTGGGCTAGTATAAGAGTCCTTTCATAATCTGTGACGGAAAATCGTGCACTGAATACTCTTCGTCCTTTGGCATAACTAAAAGCGGGTGGGGGCAGTTTTTAATCTCTGACAAAAAATATAATTCACTGAATGAGTGACACAAGTTTCACTCAGGATTATGTTATTAATACGTTGTTATTGTGCCAAAGCTTTAACTTCAGTGTTTCATTTGTTGAGTCATGATCTTATGGTGTTGATGAAGAAGCGCGTAGACTCTCTAAAACCTTTTCTTCTCTGTTTTCCGTGTGTAATTTCCATACCATGCATCAAGAAAACGGTTTGCTGATGAAATATGCGCCCAGATTCAAAACTATTGGGAAAGACTTAAGGGCTTATTACATAACTGGGAGAACAAGGGTTTTGTAAATGCCGTTTATAAACTGTCGTACAAGCTGCGGGAAGTATGACACACCGCCTTTGGACGGGTTGTGATGAAAGCTGATTCATTCTATCATTTATATGTCATTAAATAGCGCTGGGTGAGAGAAATACGACGTCGTTGTCAAACTATTGAATATCTTATTACAATTCCATTGTGACGACTTGCAATGTCGATACGTCAGCTGGTAGTCTGCGGGTAGGAGTTTGAATTTATGTCACTGGCTTATGGTCTTCCTTCTAAACTATTTGACTTCGCCGATCGTATTCGTTCATTGTATCAATAGAAATCTCTGCGAGTACGAGGCGATGCCATTGTCAAATTAAAAATGCCGATGATTCCTTCCTGATGATTGTGCCTGGTCGCTGAGTTAGTCCCGATGTTATTGGATCGGGACTCTGAGTTGAATCAGTGTTATAGGTGACCGTCCGCGAATGACAGAAATTCGAACTACTGACCACATACAGCGCGCTAAAGTACTAACATCGCACAGTGTTCACAATGAAATTGTAATCAGAAATTCACTGGTTTGACAACGGCATCGTCCTTCACTGACAGAGCTATCCATTGGTGTATGACATGATGTTCAGAATCCTGCGGTTGATGTGGCAGTCCACTGTCAGAATCTGTTAGGCAGATTCAGTGCGATGACCGTAGCACCAAGCACTGATCCTATCCACCGGTGCGCGAAAATGTCCCATTTCAATGCTTACCGTATTGTAGCTTTTTAACACATTTGCAGGCATGACTTAACGATCAATTTCTATTTTACAGGTATCCTTGGAATGAAGAAGCTCTTGCAAAGGCAGCTAAAGAAGACAAACTAATATTTTTATCCATTGGCTATTCTTCTTGCCACTGGTGTCACGTAATGGAGAGAGAATCGTTCGAAGACGAGGAAGTTGCAGCCATAATGAACCGCCATTACATCAGCATAAAAGTGGATCGCGAAGAACGGCCAGATGTTGATCAGATATATACAAGGCTACTTCAGGTAATGAGGTTGTTTCGTTTCATGAGCGGAAACAGCTAAACTTATTTGTTGTCCAAACCAATAGTCTGTGATGATTTGTACCTCATTACCGCTAAGGCCTGAGGCTAATCCAAGGACCCGGCATGAAGTTTCCTACGGCGTTTGATTTTTGGACGCAGGTTGCTAGTCGGTTGTCAGCGCACCACGAGTTTGATTCTATATGATTGACCGTGACCACCTGCACCGGCTGTTGCATCCAGTCACCCTTATTACATATATATGGAATGCTCTCAATGCGCAGAATAGTAGCGTTGTGTCAAGCTACTTGGTTTCTAAGATTTGAGTTTTATTCTAACTGCATTGTGCTAACTGCGGCAACTCAGCCAAATTAACACACAATCGAGCAGTCTCGAGTTTGCCTATATATTGGCAGATGTTTGCTTCTGTCTCGTTTCTGATTTCTTTGATCTTCGTACATGTCAGTGAAAAATTCCAGTGAACACAGGTGTAAGAGGTCTGCTTCAAACTCCGGAAGTGTTGAATATGCGGTTTCGCTCTCGGACAATTTTTGTCTTATTCACCATTTCCCTTGAACATGGAATTTACCACTTGTTGCTTCACACTTTGGTTGCTCAACTGGTACAACGTTGAACTACCAGAATGGATAAGTCCCGAGTTCAGAATCCATCGGGGTCACTATCCAGTCTTCCTTACGAGGTTGATAAATGAGTGTCACTCTGTGGAAAGGAAACAGGAGACCATTGCGCTTGCTACAGCTGTAGACTCGGCCCTTATAAAAAGATAAGGCACTTCTGGATGATGGTGTAGAAACGGAAATCATCACCGTACCATCAACTTCATGAATAGAAGGTCGCCAAAATGCTCAATCATCAAAGTGAAGGAAGACCGGCATTCCAATGGTGATAAGTTTTTCTTACTTTCGTTTCTCATTGAGCGCAGTGAGAAATTCTATCAAATTAGCGAACTTTGAGTTTCGTTTCAAAGTTTTTTTCTATTCTACACCGTGATTATGCGAGTTTATTAAATGTGCTTTGGCTAAGTACGCCATTATATTCTATACAATTTCAATTTACTTTTTTGAATTATTTTATCGTGTTGCAAATCAGTGGTAGAGCTGACTGAAATTAGAACAGGAATGCACTGTCAAACGTATAAATAAGTAGTTTTATGATTCGATGTTGTTATGCGCTTAATAAAAAATTAGCTTGATTATGCGAGTTCTTTGAGGACTCAGGTATGTTGTCATGAGTATGAGTAGAAGTAGTTCTTAAGCACCTGTCTCTGTCAAATGTTTGATTTAACCTCTCGTGATATAATCAGTAGTTTCGTTTGTAGGCAAAATGTATAGCTTTTGTTAAAACTGAATTTCCCAACCTTTAAATGCTATCGGTTGCAGCATGCAGGGCAAAGTCCATCAACGTCGCTATTACGACTTTATGTTTATGTTAAACACATGTATCGCATGTCATAGTTTACATTACTCGAGTTGCAGTGATTAAATTTAACTCACTGGTGGTCCAGTAGTTTCGTTTCTGCGTAAGCCCTTAAGCGGTTATTCACCAGCACTGGAAGGAAAGTACTCCCTTAAGCCACTAGCGCATCCTCTTGCTACTTATATTTTCTACCCTCAAGTGAAGTGTAAAGTATCATTCCTTTATATCACGGAATTTCATATGCAAAATATTACATAAGTGCACCATTTCTTAGTTATGCGCTGACTCTCCGAGATAAGGAATATTATCTCTATTGTGATAATCATTTACAACAGATATTACAGTTTTGTTTTCATTGTTATATTTGTTAAACTTGACTAATGGTTGATAGTCGGAACCAAATTGATACTAATATATTTCTGAACCCTTTTGTACTATGCGAAGACCTTCAGTGAACTTGCATATCGAGGGTAAACAGATGCTGCCTTACTTAATGACCTCGCACAATCATCACATGGTATCATGAAATGTAACTGAAATATTTGAAATTCGTGTTTGACAGCGGATTTGTGTTTTGCTCTCAATGACAACCATGATGAACAATGCGAGCTCTGCGCAGATTGGTTGAACTTTGTCGTCCCCTGTTGCCAAACAACTATTTAACCGACAGCACGGACGAAAAGCATGCCTTCTGGCTCCAAACCTACCAATCTCTCGCTGGACAGAACAAGAAAAACTTCCAAAACTCATTGGAAACGCTAGTGAAACAAGTGCCAAAACGTCGATGGTGGTCAAGCATTAAATTAGCCATTATTTTTTTTGCTCTGTATTAATGAACTGTGTTTTGCTGTTTTTCAGTCTTCATTTTAATTGTTCATTTTATGTTGGAGCATATTGTTGCTCGTTAATTTACAGATTGCCATGATTATGTGTATATTTATGTTATTTTTAGATGATGGAAATATGTTGCTAACCTTGCCTGTTTACTGCTCTAGGCAATGACCGGCTCCGCTGGTTGGCCAATGAGCATCTGGCTGACGCCCCAGCTCCAACCGGTGCTAGCTAGGACGTATTTGCCACCCTGGAACAAGTACGGTAGTCCTAGCTTCGTGTCAGTGTTGAATGCGGTAGCCACGGCGGTATGTTATACACCGTTCATGTGCCGTTAATTACACTGATCATTTTTTGCAGTATAAAAAAAATCCGTTGGAAGTGCGGCACCAGGCGCAAGAGATACACAGTGTACTGCAACGTATCTGCAAACGCGACGGAAGTTCTGTTGCTGAAATGCCTGCGCAAGACTCTGCCAAGAGATGTTTCGATGTGCTCCGTAAAACTTTCGATGATGTGTGGGGTGGTTTTGGGAGCGAACCGAAGTTTCCTACGCCAGGTAAGCACGCATCTGCTTTTCGTTCTAGTGAACATTAGACGCGATTGTCTTTCTGGACAACAGCGCAGTCCAAAGCAACTGACATTAAGACTTTTCATGAGCACGTATTCGACGGAGGGGCCGTTCGCCAATCAGAATAATGTCCTCAGACCATCGTGCTGACGAACCATAAGCGGAAATCCTCGTGCAGTGGTTTGAGTTCGTGTTTCTTCTGGTTGGTTGCCATTTTTTCTACTCTGCTCCCTTAGTACCAGACGTACACTCAACGTGGTGGAACAGTCACGCAACTCGAATGTGAGCAGGTTTCTGCTTATTGATCAGAAGCCACCATTCGCTTCCACGTAGGAAAGCTGATTTGCCGAACGGCTGAACGATGGCAACCGTTTTCCAACTACTAGGTGATTATGATAACCAATCAGATTTAAAATAATATGCTAGTACCTCGTTGTCATCCGTACTCGTTTCACCATTGAGCTTTGTGGCTACCGTAACGGTTAAAGATAAACAAGTCCCACCGCATTTCACCTGCTGAACAATCTTAATCGATCATTTTCTGCTACCTACAATACAAATGGGCGAGGTTTTTATGAAGTTACAGACAAAACAGTGTAACTCATAGTTTTGCTTCAGGAATTCGGAATGCACACATTCTGAAATCTGTTTTGCACAGCTAAGATTTGCTATTCGGGGATTCCATGTAATTATCCCGTTTTCAAATATGAATCCTTTTATTCAAGTGATTATTTATTGTAATCTTCATCTTCATCTTCCATCGCCGCTTCTCCTTTCGGGTCGCGGAGGCAGACGCGTCAGACAGT